GGAACACAAATGGAGCGCTGAAGGAATGCTGTTCTGGGACAGATCCCTGTTAGCCAGTCACATGGAAAAATGTGTCATGAATATCGCAAGTGGATGTATTGCATTAATCCATGCGTCTCTAAGACAGAGCAGATCTGACCTTTAAGCCAAATTTTCACATGCTGTGATTGCCTAACCTGGTCTGGTCTTGTTTGTGGTCAGCTATAGCAATGAGCATTAAACTTTCAGCTCTTTTTATGGCAAAATCCTTCAGTTTTCCCCTTGTCTTCTTCTGGCCTAGCATAAGCTAAAATACTGAAACATATGAGGCTTTCTAAGGCCTACTGCAGTGCCCGCTAGTATAGGTTAGTTTCCTGTAGTGTTCCCTGTACGCTTTCACGTTGTCCTGTAAAGGTAGGCAGTACTGCTGACTAATTATGCTTAAACTTCTCCCAGGTGCACATGGTCTATGTATTGATCCTCCTTTCAGGACTTCCTATGGATTTCTTCTTGTTCCTCTCTCCCTGTCTAAGGCTCCTGAGCTGCCTGACCAGCCTCATGAGCAGGTCTTCAGTGAGGACCTTGGCGGGTGCAAGTAGCCCTTATAGAGGCCACAAAAGCATCAGTGTTAGAAAGGCTGTGGAAATGGCAGCGGAGAGTTGAAAGCACTGGAATTCTCCTTGTGGGAGTCGCCTTGCATCTGGCAAGAAGCAGGCTTTGGCAAACAAGGAGTTTTGAGAATGGTAGTGGCTTGTTGAAACAGTAAGTGAGGTGATGAGGGGCTGTGGATGAGTCCTGCGTAGGAGGCAGATAGTCTCAGGTGCTCTCTTTTGCCTTCTAACATACCCATAAAATTGAAATGCCAGAAGGACCCCATCATAAAGATGCGCAGTGGGGGAGATTCTGGAGGAAGAAGCTTACGTGCTCTGCTTTGGTTCCTTGCCAGGGTATCTAGAAGGTACCCCAAGGTGGTAGCTGGGTTTCCTTGTCCTGGTGCAGATGTTGTAAGGTGACTGGAACAAATCAGGAGGACGAGAGCAGGTTCAGAAGATCCTGAGGGATACCGTTGAACATCACTTGCAATGATAAATAGTCATTTTATTGGATGTGTTAGAGTGCAGTTAGAGCGCAGAACAGATGAGATGGAGAAAAACACATATACCATACCATTAGAACTGCTTGCGCAGCCTGACACGGCTATAAAGAATCTGTAAGCCTGTCTTATTTAAAAATTGTCATAACAGATCTTCAGAGAGAGCCAGCAAGAATGGCCATGGCCTAAAGAGAAGTCTTGAGTGAAAAAGTTTAATACTCTAATAGTAGCATCTCACTTGGAAAGAAGTCTCTCTTTAGCCACAAATATCTTTTCTGCTGGCTTGTCCTTTCCAGCAGACAAGGTCAGCCCATCACCAATGTTTTTAGGTCATAGCTTGCCATGAACAGGCAGATTTGCAGAGCAAACGCAGGCTGTGCCTGGAAGACCTTTTCTAGAAGAGCACAGACATGGACAAGTTCAGTTGATTTTTGAGATCTGAAAAATAAGAAACCAAGTTTGTCATGGGGGATATGTTTGAGTTAAAACACCACAGAGACTAAGTTTGGAAAGGTGGGAGGTCTGCTTCTGCAGATCTGTTGTCTCTAAACAGTGTCTGCTAAAGCTTCTCGTTTGTGATTTGCCTTTGCCCGAGGACAGAATCGGAAGGGTATCGTGCTTTAAAAATATGCTTGAGAGAGACTTACGAGCCATTGAAAATTAAGATTTTTGTCTTCACTGTAGAGTTTGTCCTTTTCCCTGGTGTCGCAAGTACCCAGGGGTGGGCATGACCTGCTGAAACCCACATTAGTAAGAGCAGAGGCTGGGACCAAGGCCTGCCTCTGATCCTTCTCTTTTCTCTGCCGCTTGGGAGCATGTGATCCCTTGGGGGAGGACTGCCTGCAGGCTGCTTCTGTTGAGGTGTCTGGAGCTTCTTGACGGTGCACGCACCTGGGCGCGTGTGCATGGTTGCGGTGTTGCTGGAGAGCCGTTTGCAACATGACATTGAAGCAGAGAACGAGAATTAGTCTCTTGCATGCTTTGTTTCTTCCTTTCTAGCAGGGGCCTTGTCAGGTTCCTGCTGGAGTTAGTAAATGCATGAACTCAAACAGGGCTTTTCTACTTAAGATGTATTTGCTGCCTAGAAGAGCTGTGGTGCATCTGCAGTTCATGTCTGCTCTGCTGCTTGCAGGTGTCATCTGCTGTCCTCGTTGCCTTCCCTTCGTTGTGCTGGACTCCCCCTTTCTGGTAGTTGCTGCTACATTCCTGTTCCAAAACGTTTTCTTTTTGCTGACTAAGTAAGAGATAACAAAGTGAAGAGAAAGCGCTTTGCAGACTTGCTCGAGCACGCTTGTGATTTATGCAGAGACGGGGACCAGTCTGTACAAAGCTGGGGTTTGCTGCCATCTAATTGCAAAATGCTGAAGAAGTCAGAATTGTTCTGGGCAAGTTTACTAGAATTTAGTAAAAGAGGGATGAAGATGACTTTGCTTTAAATATGGACCGCTGTTCACAGTTGCAGTAATAATTAATTAATTCACTTTTGCACTTACAGTGGCGGTGTTATGATCTACATTGACCGAATAGAAGTTGTGAATAAATTGGCACCATATGCAGGTATTTCCCATCCTGTTTCACCAAGCAGCACTGTAACAGTCTTCACTCGTCCTGTAGCAGCTCTGTCTTGGTTTGCAAGAATTCCATTTTCTGTGTCTTGTTATCCTTACGGTTCCTGCTACCATAGCCCATAGTTTCATGCATTTGTATGGAAGCTTTTCAAAGAGCCACAGATTTGCAAAGATGGAGATAAATTGTAGGATTGCTTCTCCCCTGTACATTTAGAAATGCGATGGGTGCTCAAGCAATCCTATTTCTTGCTGCTGAAGGGGAGACCACCTGTGAAACTAAATACACAGGACAAAGCCCCCAGGTGCTTGCCAGCTCAGCTCCTGGGGAAATCATGAAGGCAAAGCCCATGTAGGAGCCTCTTACCTTCATATTTTACCAGCTTCTGAACCAAAGACCCAGCCAGCTTTTATTTTTTCAGGAGCATAGCTTAATGCAAAACTCTAGCATTACTGAGGCATTGAAGGGTGAATTCATGTTATAATTACAGGAATTGTTTTCACTTTATAGTGGTATCTGTTTTTATGCATGCAGGTCCTGGACAGGCTTTACTGTTTCATTTGTTTATGCAGATCATAAAACAGGATGATACAGTGTATCTTACTTTAATTACTCTGCCCTGTGCAGTCATATAATCCCAGCAGCACTGGTGGAAGGGAACTTTGTGGGTTTCTCCTCTGACCTTCCTCCCACTCACAGCAGGCTTCTCACTAATTGCTGGGCAGGGCAGCTGTGGCTTTGTCCATCTAAGTCCTGAAAACGCCCGAGGATGGAGGTCCCCCACACCTGTCCCAGTGCTGTGCTACTTTCCTAATACTCTGAGCTGTTGTTTTGTGATTGTTGCATTGCAGAAAGCAATATGTGTCAGTGGTGACCTCTGATCATTCTCTCACTTCCTCAGTGTATGATATTGTGAGAAACTACACTGCAGACTATGATAAGACCTTGATCTTCAATAAGATTCATCATGAGTTGAATCAGTTCTGCAGTGCCCATACTCTGCAGGAAGTGTACATTGAGCTGTTCGGTAAGTGGATGGTGGCTGCGTGCACCCATCAAGGGCTGTGTAATCTCTGTGTTCTTCTGTGGAGTATGTTCCAGCAGGCTCCTGTGAGCCAACGGCCACTGTGTTGGAGCTGCCGTCTAGAGTGCAGCTCCTTATAGATCTGTATGCCACTTCCCGTGTAACTTGTCACTTTAATGATTCAGATTTCTTTGTCATTCCACATGTGTATGTGGGAATTTGATTTCAGTCCTTTTCCACTTAGGACTGAATTCTGGACGCGCCAAGTAGCCCCTCGGCTCTTGTGCATGCAGATGTGCCCATTGCTTCACTGTGATGATGGTTTTGTCTTATCTACTTCTACTTTTAGGCCCCTGTTCTGCTGCTGAATTTACTTTTTTACTGTAAAAGCTTCCTCCTGGCTGTATTTAGCAAGTGAGAGCCAGAAGGGACGACTTCTCAGTTCATTGCAATGCTTTCGTTTTTTCACAAGGGGGTGGCAGTGGGTCAGGAATTAGCAAATCTAGTGTTGTGCTTCTTCGTACCTACCCGTACCCTCAAAGCCGTTACAGCATCATGTTCCTTCTTGAGTGGCAGAGCAGGCAGAAGTGGGTTTATGGAAGATAAAAGGTTGTCAGAGTTTTAATAGTAAAAGACTATGAATCTTTGGCAGGTCTGAGTACAGCATTCAAATATCTGTAGTCAGAGAGGAGTTTCCTAGTAGTACATGCAGCTTAATCCATTCTTAACTGGCCATTTCTGTGGGAGGATCTTCCTGGAGCTTGGAAGTGACAAAATGCATTTTTTCAGTAGCAGGTACTGGATCCTGCAGGTCACTAGAGATTCAAGGCAGAGCTTGCCTCTGACAGCGGGGTTGGCGTGGCTCCTCCAGCTAGGAAAGGATAGGCTCGAGGTCAAGCAAAGGAGGCAGGATGCGTGGATGAGCAAGGAGGTTCTGGAAAAGCTCGACTGGAAGAAGGGAGTTTACAGAATGTGGAAAAAGGAACTGGCCACTTGGGAGGATTATAGGAATGCTGCCAGAGTATGGAGGGATGCAATGAGGAAGGCTAAGGCCTGCTTGGAATTAAAGCTAGTGAGGGATGTCAAGGATAACAAGAAGAGCTTCTTCAAGTACATTGGTAGCAAAAGAAATACTAGGGAAAGTATGGAGAGAGGAAGACTTTCCCTTGGTCAAGGCTAGAGATCATTTAAGCAAACTGGTCACCCACAAATCCATGGGATGCATCCACAAGTGCTAAGGGACCAGGCAGATGTTATTGCTAAGCCACTCACCATCATTTTTGAAAGGTCATGAAGGACCAGAGAGGTGCCTGAGGACTGGAGGAAAGCCAATGTCAGTCCAGTCTTCAAAAAGGGCAAGAAAGAGGACCAGGAAACTACAGGCCAGTCAGCCTCATCTCCATCCCTGGAAAGGTGATGGAACAGCTCATTCTCAATGTCATCCCTAAGCATGCAGAGGAAGAGAAGGTTATCTGTAGTCAGCATGGATTCACCAAGGGGAAATCATGCCTGACCAACCTGATGGCCTTCTAGGATGGCATGACTGGCTGGGTGGATGAGGGGAGAGCAGTGGATGTTGTCTGCCTCGACTTCAGCAAGGCTTTTGACACTGTCTCCCACTGCATCCTCATAGATAAGCTTAGGAATGTGGGACAGACGAGTGGACAGTGAAGTGGGCTGAGAACTGGCTGAAGGACAGAGCT